TCAAGAAATTGGAGCCGACATTCATGGTAACTAGGGTGAGTTTGGGGGAAGGAAATGGTTACCCAGAGACACTACAACCTTGCATAAAAGTTACTCAAAGGGAAATAATATGTTATGCCCAATGATCTACCTAAGAACTTTCCTTCTAGCGGTGACAATTAGATTTTGGGGTATTTTTAGAATGAATAAGTTTTTCGCCTTTGTCTTGTTCTCATTTTACTGTTTTCCCGTATTTCTTTCATTTTGTTGGGTTGAGACTGACTTGTCTTGGTGGGAATAGACAAGTGTCATCACATCCGTTTTAAGATCATGACACTCCATGTCCCCCTCTCTTTTCCATTTTCGCCGTGCCTTTTCATTTAAAGGTATAGTAGAGGGTGCTTTACTGGGATCTTCATGTATAGAAAAAGACTGTTTTGCAAAATATGAATTCTAAACATTCATGATCTGGATATGAATTATATTTTCTTAAACAACTTTATAATATCAAAGTCCTTTTAATGAAAAAAGTATTTATGAGTATATTTTAATTACCAAATACGTTGTTTGTATATTATTAATTTTAACGATTATAGTTAAATATAAAATTATTTATTTATAATATTAATTTTAACACTTAAGAGTGGTTTGATAATTAGTTTGAAAGTGAGTAATGCATGTATTGGATTCTGCATAAGTAATACCACATTTGCTAGTTTGTTAGAAGATAAGTAATTCATTGTATTTGTAACAATCCCTTCCGGTCGTTATGTGTAGACAAATGGTGAAAGAATTAGGTCAGAATTTTTTTTTAGTAGTAACTTGAAAATCTTAGCCTAGGCCAGTCTCAAATAGAATCTGAGTAAGACTAGATCTAGGGAAATTCAGAAAGTAATTGGAGATAACATCTAAGTTTGGGTTGGATTTTCTAGTTGCTCAGGCATTAAGAGTCCATATGGCTTTTCAAAGATGAATTCAGGTGAGTAGAACTCCCGATATCAAACTTGTTTTGGAAGAATTATTTTAGAATGTCAAGCTTCGAGGGTGTGTTGCGAAATGTGGGATTTGAGGAAGAATGTGAGATTCTCCGTGCAAGCCGCTATAATGGAAGAAATCCCGTCATGGCAGAGCTAGTATAGTTGGCATGTTGCGATGTAATGTAGAAAGTCTCAAAATCGTTCACTATTCTGCAACTTCATTCTTGGGAAAAGAAGGGGCGATTAAGGGCTATTTTCTCAACTTTTCATCAATCTCTTTACTAAAGGTATGTCAATTGTTATCCTAACCCGTAATTTGATTTTTAAGCCTTAGAATATATGATGGTACTCTTAGTGTAGGGTTTTGAGTTGAATTAATGGTGGAAAAAAAAGCCTAGATTGGATAAAATAATCATGAAATTGGCCTACTGTTAGGATTTGAGTATAATTTGGGTATTTTTAGGCAATTAGTGATTGATTGTTGTATTTTCTTATTGTTTTAGCCCAGGTTAAGTCATTGCAAAAGAGGAAAACTCGGGTTCTTTAGAATTTCAAAGGCTTGTTTGAGGTAGGTGATGATTGTTTGTTTCTAATGTATGAAATGTTTGCATGTTAACTGCTTTATAGTATTTTACTTGTGCAATGCTTGCGGGAAACACATAAGGGATGAATATGAAATGATATCATATTGATAATCTCATGCAATTAACCTGTTTAATTTATTTGTGGCTACAAGTGTGGTTGTTCATTGTAAGTGTGATTGTGCATGTTGCTTGTGATTGCTAATCAGCGGGTACCTTGCCAATATAGATTCACTAATGGTTGGCTCGGATACCATGCCTAGTATGAATTACTAACTATCGAATCGGGTACCACGCCTTGTACGAGATAGCATTCGGTTCACTCAGGTATCACATCGATACACTAACAATTAGTGTGGGGTTCCATAAGAGAATTAATATATGTTATTATGATCATGTGAGACTGGCTTTATGTGTTTGTTAAGTCAAGATTTGTGACTAGGAGTCTATATCTATTGTGACTTTTTAATATATGTGTTGACTTGTATTACTATATTTTGATTTAATCTTTACATTCATATCTTAAAATTAGTCATATGATTCTATTAGTGCATTGTGGTTGTGTACTGATATTGCTCTTGCTCTTTTCTTGTTAGGTACAAGGCACATTCAGGCGACTGATATGAGACATTGCTTGTGAGACCAGCGAAATCTGAATCCAAGGGTGAGCTATTTCTTCCGAGCTGCCATGACTCTTAGTTTCTTTGTTCATCTATTTGGACTCACACATCTCATAGTCCTTAGTTTATTGTTTTCTTGGTTAGGGTTGCATCCATTTACTTTAGATACTTTAGAGCTTTGGTACTTTGACTTTCAGTTTCTAGGGGGTTGTTTCTGCATAGTTATTTTAATGATAATTGAAAAAGTTTATGGGAACTTGATCTTTTTTTCATTGAAACTATTTTCTTAGTGTTCTACATAATAATCTTGCTCCTTAAAATGGTTTGATGGGTTAAACTTGGGGTAGAAATTGATTCTCCCACTAGAGGGTCAATGTGGGTGTCATTCACGGTGGTTTGGATAGTGACATTTATGTATAAAATTAATATGGTATTTGATTTATAGTTTAGAAACTCGCATAAAAGATATATATATGCATAAGTTATTAGAAAATTTATAAATTATTTTATGCAAGTTAAAAGATGGAATAACTAATACTTGAAAAACTAAACCCTGCACAACTAATAATTACATAAAATAGGACATAAATTCTCTCATAACTAATTTATGTATATACTAATACCTCCATAAATCAAACAACCCCTTAGGGGTCGTTGGGTAGCTCGTTTGGAGGTGAGTTGTGCAGGTATTAAATCCTGCATAAGTAATATCATGTTTGGTAGTTGGTTAGGAAATAATGTATTCATGTATAAAATTTATATGATTTGATTCAATTTAAAAACCCGCATAACTAATACATGTATAAATGATGAGAGAATCGGTATATTATTTTGTGCAAGATAAAAGATGAAATAACCAATACATGAATAACTAATCATGCAACTTACAGAAATCCTACTAGTTTAGAAGTGAATTACTTACCTACACGCTAGTTTGTAATATTACGAATCTACCCAAATTTTGCTGTGTATAGATACATGTATCTGTCTATACAAAGGGTCAAAATTAGGTGTAATTTGTTAGAAATACATTGTATCCAAGTGGATTCGCATGTATCTAGGATATACAGACAAATCTCGTTTGCCTCCCTCTCATCCGCTCACTACACTGATATCTCACTCGCGTATCTAGTATCCTAGATACATGTGAATCATATTAGATACATGTATATAGTGTGTATCTAGTGTGATTCACATGTATCTAGAGTACATAGACAAATCTCACTCACCTCACTCCCTTCTCTGATATCTCATTCATGTATCTGCTATCCCAGATACATGAGAATCGCACTAGATACATGCATATATTGTGCATATAGTGTGATTCACATGTATCTGAAATACATAGACAAATCTCGCTCGCCTCCCTCTCATCTTGCTCGTCACTCTCATATCTCTCCCGTGTATCTTGAATCCTAGGTTCATGCGAATCATACCACATACATGTATATAATTTGTGTCTAGTGTGATTTACATGTATTTGACTTGAAATCTGATATGAAATTATTAAATAGTCAGATAAAATGTAATTATTTCAAACTATAGAGAGAACTAGGAAATATGGTAGAAATGTTTGTGTAATTAGGTAGTTTCTCCTAATTAATAACTACATAAAATAATATATAAATTCACTTATAGCTAATTTATATATTACTATCACGGTAATACCTACATAACAAACAACCCTTTAATACTTATCGACTACTTTTCATCTAACTAAATCAAATTGCCATAAATGATTAATTAGGTTAACTTAATGGAATAATTGTAGGTAACATTGAATGGGGTAGTTGGCGTTTTGGTTGGACCACCATAATATCTTTTCATCAATCAAATCTTGGCTAAATTGGTTTTTTCTCAACAATGTCTAGTTATTATTTGTGATCTGGGCTCAAATTTGCTTCTATTAGTCATTTCAATACGTCTTTGGTTCCAAGATTAGTGAACATGAAAAGAATGCTCATAGCTTATCTACGTTACGTCTTTCATGTAATTCCGAGACAATATGCTAAGACAAGACTAGAGGATTAAACATTATTCGATTTCTCAATTTCATCAACAGTTCAGAGGATTATATTATGTCCAACTTGTTTTGGATTGTTAATGTCCCTATTAGTTGTGGGTCAGTGCAAGTAATATTATGTATAATTTACATAAATCTCATAGTGTTAAAAGTTAATTACATTATTTTCCTACTCTTTCCAAAATTACAAAAATTCCTTAAAATTTACGAGTTTTGGATACATCATTGAACTTTCAAATACATCAGGCATCCGGATACATAGGGGAGGGATGTATCCCAGAGTGGATAGGACATCCGGATACATAGGAGAGGATGTATCCGAGACCGATAGGGGGGGTAGGGATCTATCAACGAGAGCGGGAATGATGTATTCAATAGGGGATTTTTGAAAAAAATATAAATGGTAGGAAATTTTAGAGATTATGGTAAAATAAGATATGTATTTAGGTAATTTTTCCTATTATGTATATACTCCTATCATTTTTGTAATTCTTTGCTTTTAGGTTATCATACATATTTTTTTTTTTTATGTTTTTGTTATTGGTCTTCTACTCATTGTCCGGTATCCACATTGAAATTCAATTATTTCATATTTGCACCGCGTAGGACCCCCTTTCAAGGTGAAGGGCTCCCTACCAATAATTTGTCCATATCAAGGCTCAAATTACTCGAGAGCTCTGGTTAAGAGAGAAACAGTCTCACCAACATATACGGTTATGTTATACATATTCTTTTCATCAAACAAAACATTAGTCTCGGAAGCATTTCAATAAATATTATGTGGAACAAAAAAATCTACTTACATTGACTTGGGCCAGAATGAAAGAACCGTACGTAGCTAATTACTTTTTAAACATACATAATAATCAATAGAAAACAAAAACAAACATAAATATAAAGAAATGAATATATGAAGGCGTCAAACTTTATAAGCTTATTTCATATCATTATTTGGTAGATGATCCATTTCATAATAATATTGTCCCCTCTGAGTTGGTAGCATTGGATATTGATGATGATGATGAAAGTAATTAGTTGGTGTCACCACTGGTACAAAATAACACATTGGTTGAGGATGATCATCAAACAACATATTATTCTGATCTATCATCATCATCCCTTTCATTCCTCCTAGTTGATTTTCAACAATAATATTATTGTTATTAACATGATGAGTATTGATCATCATCATCATCTCCGCGGGGAAATTCATCGTTGGTGGAACATCTAATGGCTGCTGTTCTTCTTCGATTATTTCGAGTTGTAAGCTGTTTTTCCTAACCAAACTCTGCATTATGCATGGTTGAGGAGTTGCTATTGTTTGCTTTCCAACATAACTCATCCCCTGCATGTCTTCTAACGATATTCTCTGCGTTCCCTTCAAGTATTCCATCCTGAAAACATTGTTAATATTTTCAACACGACTCCTCATGTACGTGAGGACCAACTTTTATTCATCATGATCTATATATCACATGGAGATAATGTGTGACGGATCCATCTGCTTTGATACCATATTTAAATGACACATTTTAACATGAGAATTCAGAGTCTCATAATTGAACATATACAACATGAAGATATAAAATAATAAGTTCAAATCATCATGAGTATTATTTACTAGTATTTATTTTCAAATCTCAACCAAATCATGTCTGAAACGCTTAGGATTATCACTTATTAACGAAGATCTGAATCTATAGTGTTTAAAAAGTTGTTCAGTATAGTCATGTATATCTCATGAAAAGTCTTGCCTAGTACATTAATATTTTAATTCAACAACAATAACATATTTATTATTACTAGTACAAACTATGGAACAACATACCTTTGCTTTATAAGCTCAATTTTTGCTTCCAACGAGGAAGCAATTTGTTTCAATTGGTGAGTAGATAAATTATCGTAGAATTGATCCCACGTTGGATATTTAGCCTCATAATTCTTTTTACGTAATTTTGAAGACTCCATCTCCACTTTTTTTGCTATCTCCCTGAAGTAAAACGATAAATCATGGGTCCTCAGTCTCCGGTCATCGTCCGATCGACCTCTATACGATTCGATTAAGCTCTGCACAGTCTCTTTTTCAGGCCACAATGTCGTGGGTTCCTCTTGCACCTTGTCCCCGTATATTATCACACAGAGTTTAACTTGACACAAAATTGATAATTCTTCAGCTTTTTTCTCCAAACCTTTTTTCCTCTTTTGATACGTCAAATTTCGAGATCTTTCGTTTTTAATAAGTTCCATGCCAATTTTCTTTCGACCCATCTGACAATTAATACGTTCACAAAAATATTGGGCAATTTAGTCAATTTACATTGTAAAGGAAAATATAAGGAATTTGTGGTACATTCAAGATTTTTTTGCAAGGGGTAGTCTTTAAACCTCAATCTCATAGTGTTAAAGAATACAACAACTCAAAGTAGGTTTGAAAAGGAAAAATGATACTGAAGAAAATATAGCAACTAATTTACGAAACAATAACAATATCAAAGATATTGCTATGAGTGAAAACACAATAGACAACAAATGGTGATATACACTTAAAGAATAGGGCTAATACTACGTACGATAGACAGTACCACTCCACTACTCCAATCCCATATTGTTAGAATAATTATGTATTTTGATGATTAAATAATACTCTAGCACCTAAGGCACGTTCAAGGGGTAAAAGAATATTGAAAGCATATATATATATGTACATCTTCTTGATGAAATAATCTCTTGTGACAATGCTAATAAGAAAGTCATAGTAATTAATATGCAAACATATAAATCAAGAAATTAATTAATTACCTCTTTGTTAATTAATCTCAACACCACACAAGGGTAGTCAGAGAAGTTTGCAGTTAGTAGTCAGCCTGAAAGAACAGTAGACAAAAAATTTCGTAACACAATTTCTTCAATAATTGCAAAATAATATGAGATGACGAAACTTGTAATTACTTATATTAATGAGTAATTATAGAATATATAATCCAAACAAAAAACAGAAAATTGCCCAAAAAGAGCAAGAAAGAGAGAAATTGAAATTTGAAAAAGAGGATACCAAAGCCAATTTGCAACTTTGTATGTATGAGGGCTTCTCTTCTATCTCCTTTTTAGGTATTTTATACTTCCCATTTATTATATTTTACATAATATAAGTTGTATTATTTTGAGAAGAATATTTATTCTTTCCTTTTTGGTTATATTTACTGTCTTAATTAATTTTGTTTGTTACCTTTTAGGTTCTTAAATTGGTTGCGTTTCCTTTTTTAGTTTCTTTTATTGTCTTGTGCAATGTACACGCTTTAGTAATTGAAGCCTTTTAGTTTTTATTTAATTTACTAATACTTGGAAAGTACCATATTTTATATAGGTCTACGCGGTTGTTTATTTGAAAAACAAGAAAGGAAAAATTGTGATTTCAATCATAATGGTTGTTTATATGGTAAACGCGACCCTTCTATTTGGCCCTAAATTTTGAGAGTAGATTTTTCTATAAAAAAATAAAATAAAAATAAATATTATTTGGTCATCAAATTTGATGAGTTTATAAAGTTAACTTCAAAAGAATTTCAAGTTTCAAAAATCGGTCAAAACCAGTTTTTGAGTGAAACTTCACTTTCTAAAACAAATACTTTTAACTTTATATGGAGTAAAATACATGTCCAAACACGCTTTTAAGTTCCAAAAAAAGTATTTTTCAAACACTCCTTGTCAATATATAAAAGGTTAAATCTTTTGAAGAACGTTACAAAATCATTTTGGGATCAAGAGTTACTGAATTGCATCATTTTATTCAACAGGTCATGGTCATTAGCTAAGTTGGGAAGACTTTTCACTTTCGATGCCGTACCCGTGTCGGATTCTCCAACCATACACTACTTTTGGCGAATCCGACACACACCCCATGACATTTTTTAAGAGTCTAAGCAATATAGGTCATTAGGCTTTAACATTTATATTGAACAAGGCCAAGGGAAGGGGGAAGAGGACAAGCAAGAAGATAGAAATGCTTTGTTTCTGCAAAATGAGATGGGAAGATGCAAATAACTAAGTGCTCCTATATTCTATTTTCTAGTATATATACATAAGATATATTTCCAATTTGTGTTGCAACAGCACACAAAGACAATTTCTACAAGGAGCATTTGCAACATCTTACACATAATAGTTCCAATAGCTATACCCCAAAAAAAAGGGATGAGTTACTGTGGAACTTTTTCTACTTAAAATTAGCTCATACCATGAAGTGAACCATCTCCCATGGCAAGCATTGCCCTGCTTGATAGAAAAACTACATATATGGTCATAAGTCCCAATCCCAACGACTTGCTAGGCCGCATATCATTCCGAGGTAGTACAATGAGTGCCCAAACCAGGGCTAACATTAGAAATCCCATTGTGTAATACAAGCTATTATCTCTTGGAAGGATATAAGATTCTGGCCTACTCGACAAGGCTCCAAGGAGCATGGAGATGCCTAAACCAGCAAGGGTGTTGAACATAGGACCTGCATAACATCCTGACATGGCAATCTGCACACCATCTGCACTATTACTTGCTATTGCAACATTTGACATTAAGTCACCCATAGAGTTTCCCCATGCCAAGACGGTTAACGCAAGAATTGATGGATTGACACCAAAGATCACACCAAATGCCACTAGCAGAGCCACTAGCTCGTTTGCCACGATATAAAACCAAATGATACTCATAAAGAAGCCTCCCAAGAGCCATGGAAACAAGAATCTTTTCGGTGGGTGATCGGCTGAGGTATAGACAAATGCAACACCTCCAAATATACCACCAACTACAGCACCAACAACATATGCAGTGGTAGCAGGGCAACTCAAATTGTCCTGAGTGTTCCAAAGGAATGCTAAAAGCAAGGGCGCCAAAGAAGCACTAGAAACAGCATACAGTTTTGACCATCTGTCCTCATCAACAATGGGGATCGTTAACCTTCTTGGGAGTGTCAATGGTATTTCTAGCAGTGCAAACAACTTAGAACAGGATAGGGAAGAAGACTGGTCATCGACATCATCCTGTTCATTCCAACCCCACAAATCCATTGGACTACTTTCTACGGAATTATCCTTCACAACTTCATCAGAGAAGATTGCCACATTTGAAGACCACATCCAATGTGGCAGCTGAGCTTGTAGCTGCAGCAATCCATCAGCTGATTCCAACCCACCTAAAGAAGAATCACTCTCTCCATCTATGCTACTCGATGTAACTGGTAACAACGGAGCAATTAAATCCAACTTCAAACTACAATTGCGATCCCTAAGCATCTCATTTGCAGCAACAAAACCAGCATACACCAAATAAATAGAGATAAAGGCAACAGCACCTAAAACCGCCACCTTGCCTAGACTCAAAAGAGTAAGAAGTGAAACGAGAACTATAATAAAGAAACACACATCCCTAATAAAGCACTTCTTATCAATCTGTATACATTGTTCTGCAACACACAAGGAAACAGTACCAACTACAACACATGTAACAAAAACAGCACCACCAAGAACACTATTCAACCCCACCTCCCCAGAATCACTGCCCATAAAAGCAGCAATACTAGCAAACACATCAGGCGCCCCATTCCCTAAAGGAAGCAGAGTAACTCCTGCTACAGTTGGGGGCAATTTCAACAAATTGGATAGCTTTTCAAGACAACAACAGAAGTAATCAGCAGCCGTATTCCCCAACAGATAGAACAAAGAAATCAACCAAATAGCAAGAGTCACATATCCAAAAATACTAAAACCTTCACAGTTACAGTAAAAGAAGAAAAGATAATTGAAGAAACCCCCTGAATTACATTGAGGATTTGCCTTCAAGTAGTCACATTTTGTACTGTAACCTTGATGTTTATACAACCCTGCACAGAGCTTGATATCCCTGCTGCTTTCACCCAAATGATGATAACTCAAACTCGTTTCCTTTCTAACAGCACTAATTTTGAAAAGTTTCTTAGAAAGTGGACTTTGAACAACATCTTCTCGACGGAAAAAGAAAACAACCAATACAGACAAACAGAGCCCATTGAAAATTCCACGACACCTGGACCGTTTTCGACAGTAAAACCGATTCTGTGTTTCCATTTATTGAATTCTTGAAAACCCTCCAGAAAGAAAGTGACTAAATAGGGGAAAAAGACAAATCTTTTGAATTTTATTGATCAAGATTGGAGAATTTGGACAAAATTATCAAGTGGGGTTTGAAGAAAACAGAATTGAGGAATTTGTAGGTGGTTTTCAGGGTGAAAATTAGGGATATTCTTTAGGTGTGAAAAGAAGAAATGGTAAGAGGTGAAGAAGGGAGCAAGAAAATAGGGAGCCATGGATGCTTGACAAGCGGTCGCTTTCTACAATGTTATCATTCCTGTTTGGGCCACCACTTCCTTCAATAAGGTTAGCTATACTATGCCCAATCATACAATCCATAATATTATCAAAATTAAATTTCTTTAATTCTTATTTTCTCTCTTTTCATTTATATTATTCAATTTCAAAAAATAAAAATAAACATTAAAGTGGTAATTTATTCGTTAATTTTATAAATTGGAAAAATATTGTTAGATATCCCAAAATAGTATAGTACTTAGACAAGTAAAGATCGACAAATATAGTATATAATCTACTCCCTCCGTCCAACAATAGTTGTCCACTATACTATTTTTAAATATCCAACAATATTTTGTCCACTTTATGAAATCAATGGATAATTTTACAGTTCTTAATGTACCCTTATCATAATTATATTCATTTTTATATTACATTTTTCAAGACATTATATTTATTATATTCAAAAAGTGATATAGTACATTTCCTTCTATTTCTTTTTTTTTTAAGAAGTGTGCATAATCAATAGTGAACAAGTATTGTTGGACAGAAGGAGTATATTAAAGCATAAATTTTAAGAATCTTATGTTTTTTTAAAAAATTGTGTCAAGCCAAACTAACTCATAAAAATTAAGACGGAAAAAGTAAATTATATGGATATGAAACATTCTTTTAAGAATAAAATGATTAAGGATATAATTTATTACCTTTTTGATTATTTTTAAACTAGTCTCTAAGAAAATGAAATATAAATACATAAAAAAATCTAAAAATATAATTTATTTTGAATTATAAAATAAAGTTTCAACGATTCATTGAATAATAATTTATTTACTTTAAACTATAAAATAAACCTCAACAATTCACTCAATATAGACTAAATGAGATATTGATAAATTGGAATTAAATTTCAAAATTCTTTTTTTTATTCCTAGTTGAAATTCTTTTCTTTTCTACTAAGTAAGACTTTTTTGTGGTTTCTCTTCTTTAAATTTAAGTTTGCGTGTGTCGGTTTGGAAAACAGTAGGAACAAAAAGTTTTCTTTTTTTTTTATCTAACAAAAGCGACTTGTTGTCTAGACGGCAAGATACCGACATTTTTTCCAAAAATAAATACTTGAAAATAGTCATAGATTTGCTATAATTACGTATTAATTCAATTTTAATTGACTACATTAAACAAATTATACGTCAATAAATGTAACATTATTTAAACCTAATGTAAAAATAATTTGAATTTACCATGATATATGTGGCCTCGTGGAAAGAAAATCAACAGAAAAAAAATACTCCCTCCATTTCATATTAATTGAATTTTTGAGGTATTCACTTTTTTAAGAAAAGTAGATTAAGACATAAATTGAACATAATTTCCCATTTTTATCCTTATTAATTATTGTCAAATTTATTGAAGTCATCACATTGAAAATCCAAATGAAGGGTAAAATTGGAAGAACACTATAAAAGTAGTTTTGAAAACTGAACAATTATGTTAATTTGAAAAATGAAAAATATCTCAA